GCCTCCCAGGAAAGGAGGATCTGCCTTCATTGAGCTGGTGAGCACTGTTCCACATTCCTCAGTACTGGAGGATAGGCCATTGTCCTTTGAGAAGGAAGCAGGACCTAGGGGCAATGTCATCAGTATTAGTCAGCTTTCCATCTCTCAAAAGACCCAAGATAATCAGCTTATAAAGATGAAAGGGTTTCTTTTGGCTTACAGTTTTGCAGACCCAGTTCATGACCAATCATTCTATTGCTCTGGGACTGTGATAAGGCAGTGTGTTTTAGTGGAGGAAACCATTCATTCATTCAGTAGCCAAGAGGCACCAAGAAGTAGAATTCCAATTCCCTCTGAGGGAAAGCTCTAGTCACCTAAAGGCCTCCTGCTCCCCAAAGACCCCACTCCCACTGGTTCCAGTGTCTCCCAGCATCACCGCCTTGGGGACCACACCTCTAACATCTGGGCCCTTAGAGGAACGTCTAAGATTCAAGTTATAGCAATATCCAAAGAGAAACAAGCATCCACACAGTGACACACAGAAATATATACAAAGGTCCACAGAGAAGCTGACAGAGGTGGAGAGACACAGATGCCGCATCAACACAACAGCAAAGAGAAACTTGCAGCATCATGAATACACACACACACATGAGCCAGATATATATGTGATACAAATGCATGCAGTCTCACACCACTATACTCACACATATGTGCAAACATATACAGACTCACTACAGTCAAGTCCACACAGGTCTGAAGACAACACCCGCACCTAGAGTCAGGCTCCTTGCGGCTGAGGTCTTATCCTTGGGTCTCAGCATACCTCCATCCCTCAGAGGCCAGTGTGATGATGAACAATACCAGTGAGAGTCACTGGCTTCACGTCTCCCTCCTGATCAAATTCTTCTCCCAACAGAGAGAACTGTGGCTGCTCAGTCTACTGCTTCTTGCCCAGTGTCCCATGGCTCACAGAAGGGGGCCCCTGTCCTGGAAAAAGATACGCCTCCCCAAGGATCCCGATCTCTTCCTTTCCCATCAAGAATGATTAATCCCATGATTATCACTAAATAAAATGGCTCTTCATCTGCACTAATGACTTGTGTTCTTCAATATTACTCAAGGCTGTAGAAGCTAGAAAGAGCACTACCTAGGCAGTCAGGGCCGTGCCCTAGAGACTCATTCTGAGTCTGAGTGATCTTGAAGAGCAGAGGGCTGGGTTCAGGTGAATGGAGATTAGGGTGGCTGCCCTGCTGTGCTTAGGTGGTGTGAATAAACACTCAGGCATCGATGTTCACACACAGGTTCCCACTAGGAGGGAAGCAGCCGATAGTAGATGTGCTCCAGAGCTGGGCATGAAAGGGGTGTGAGGACATATGTGTCTCTGGCTCTATCTCAGGCTGGGTGCTGGAAGCAACCAGGAATGTGGGAAGGTGAACTGATCACAGCAGGAAGAGAAGGCTTGAATGGGGGCCACTCCATGTGGTGATGCTTGGGAGACCATGAAGTAGACACCTGGAAAGCTAAAGGACGTTGTCTACTGGCCTCTTCTCTGTGCTTCCGGCAACAGAAGGTCAAAGAAAACAAGCAGAATGAAGAGCACCATGGTCCGAGTGTTAAATGCTTGTGAATAGCAGGGCAGAGGCTAATGGGGGTTGTCATCTTTTTTTTGTGATAAATCTCCAAAGGAAAATCCGGGAAATAGGATGTAGTCTTTGAAAATGGTCAGCACATTCTTGGGATTCCGGGAGGCCATGCCTGCATATGATGAGGAACTGCCTGGGTCCAGCGGGCCCCGTGGGCCTTTAGTTGTGCAGAACTATCAGTACATCGGGGCACACACTCGAATCTTGGACCACCTCTGGTTGTTCACTCCCTCCTGGTGAGCTGGCTGTTTGATGGTCGAGCCTCCTGAACCCTAGAGTTTCTGACTGGGACACTCTTGTCTGTGCCAATTCCTTTTGGAGATACAGTTCTGTTGAGTCCATCCATTTGTGGGGTTTCATTGAGTGCCAAGGGTTTGTTGTAACCCCCTACCAGCCCTTGTGCCTTGGAAGCCTGCTGAACTAAAGTGGCCTTTCCATTGTGACAAGGTTGTTTGTGACATTCCTGCCTCAGTAAGTACGGGATAAACAAAGGAAGCATCTCGTTTCCCTCCAGCTACACAGCACAGCTTTTGCTGACTAACCCACTGGGGCTTGGCTGGCAGGCAGTGGGTCACACCCCCTCCTCCTATGGCTCAAATCCTTAACTATGAGCAGGAATGTTCCCTCGGGTGCTGGCGGTGTTATGTCCACAAGCAGTCAATGTGTCCATGCTGTGATGTATTCAGCAGTCATCAGCACTCAAAACCATCCAAAGGGCCCCGCCTACATGCACATAAGCACCACAGGCAGAAAAACACCCTGCATCAGCAAATTAGCCTCAAATTACCTGATGTCACCAGTTCCCATTGTCTCGTAGGGAGACCAGAAAATCTTGTCATGAAAGCATCTGCAAAAGCTACAGCAAAGTCTACATCCTCCTCTTGCATCTTTCTGTCTTAACAGGGAAAGAAAGCCACTGATCACTTGACCCCCATCCCTTAGAGCACCATTAGGCCTAAGACAGTTGTATCAACAATGGTCCTTTATCCCACAAGCACCAATCAGGCTGTGGTGTGAGGCTTCTCTGGCCTTTTGTCCATATCTGTTCTTTCAGTGTCAAAGCTCTCCCTCAGAAAATGACCTGCTTTTAAGTCTCCTTCTCACCATCAATGCATGAAAACAGGTCTTCCGAGGGGACCTCAAACAACCCAGACCGGGGGGGGGGGGGGGGGGGTTCCCTGCACAGGCCCCTCTGCCTGCTCCAGGCATCATCTAGGAAGTTAGGAAGTGACGAGAGCTTATGCTCACCACCTTATCCCTGCAAAGCCAAAGGACAGCCAGCACCTCAGTCAGCCCATCACCTACTCCCCACTGCTAACCCCATCTTGGAGCAAGGACCTACCATTTGACAATGCCATGACTTGTTTCCTTGGTAACCCTGCTCACTGTGCCAGACTGATGAGCAGACAGCACACAGTGGTCCCCAACCCAAGAGCAGAATTTAAACACTTATACCCAAGGCTTGCTGTTATTGACATGTTCAAGGGACACACAGGAGAGTCAGGGACTGGCTAGGACAATGCTGATGGTTTCTAGTCATTGTGGCAAATGTCTGAACAAATCAGTAAGTGACATTATTTTGACTCACAGTTTCAGAGGTTTTGGTGCATCACAGTGGGAAGGACAGGGTTGTGTGGAGCAGCCCACCACCTAGTGATCAGGAGGCAGAGAGGGACCAGGCCTGTACTAACAGAATCCCCTCTCTATCACCCAGTGAGGGCTCTAAGCCTATGGCAGAATGCCATGGGTATAAGTGTATTAGTGGTCTCTGGGACACCACTCACAGACATTTGTATAGTGCACTTTACTAATCAGATAGGTGCTTCCCATCCAAGCAAAAGGTCGGGATGACTTGTCACAAATGCTTTGCTTACACGGGGGAGAGGAGGAGAGAGACCACACTGGCAGGCAATGCCAGCAACTAACCAGGATCACCCTGCTGTGCCTGCAACTAACCAGGATCACCCTGCTGTGTCAGTCACTAACCAGGATCACCCTGCTGTGCCTGCAACTAACCAGGGTCACCATGCTGTGCCAACAACTAACCAGGGTCACCCTGCTGTGTCAGTCACTAACCAGGATCACCCTGCTGTGCCTGCAACTAACCAGGGTCACCCTGCTGTGTCAGTCACTAACCAGGATCACCCTGCTGTGCCTACAACAAACCAGGATCACCCTCTGTGCCACACAGAGTCCTGTCCCTCCCTAGTGGAGTCTGCACATTGAAAGCTGGGCATGTCTGAAGCCATTGACACACACACTGAAGCAGAGTGAAGAAGAATTCTCTAGAGCAGAAGGGTCCCCATGCAAGGCACGGATGCTGTGGCCTCTTTTTCATGCAGTAACTGAGTCAAGACAGAAAGATGAGGACAGAACGTTGTGGATCATTAGAAGGAAAAGCTACTCCTCATTCAGGTTTGGTTGAAGACTCTCAGCAGCTGAGCGTAATTCCGGTATGGATAGCATTTTCTCTGTAGGTTGCTATAACATAGAGACAAACTGCCTTTTCTATAGAAATATTTTCAGGTGATAATGCTAGACCACCAATAAACCATGCTTAAGGCCAGGCTGCATACGGCCTCAGGCAGAGCTTCACTCCTCCCCCAGATACTTTCTGAGAAGCTCACAAAAAAATACTATACATGGAGACACAAATACACTAACTTCTCGCATCCCTATGATCTAAGAAGTTATTTATTCACCATAATCTTGTCTGCTGCATCTCAGGAGCTATGCTGTTACCTCATTTAAATTCCTTGGCAACCATTTTAATACAAAACTTTCAGAACCTACCAAAATTGCATATATGACAATTATATAGAAGACGAAGCCTGGCTCCACTTTGAGAAGCCCACACCGTTGCTCAGTATGCCTCAGTCTTTTCCTGAATGCCTCCTCTCTCATAACGCCCGTCTGTAAATCTAAGCATCTCCTTCCTAATAAACTTCAATTTCTCTTCATACAAGCTCCTGCTGCGATCCTTTTCTCTGGCAAAACCAAGGATCCAGTTTTACCTGAGAGCAGAGTCTGAAGAGGAAAGGAACTCTTTAGGCTGCTGCAGACAACTCACAGCACGGAGCAGAATCCACCATGGATGAAAGCATGGAAGTGTCCCAGGCCCAAGGCTCATCTTAACCTAGCCAAGCAAAGGGTCAAAACACTGTATGCAAAAGACAGCCACTCTTAGCACAACTAGGAATACACACACTACAAAGAAGAGAAGCTTACAGAATTAAGATTAGTTCAGTCATTAGGCAGACACCTAAAACAACCACTATCCACAACAACAAAAAAAAAAAAAACTCTGGAGAGAAGGAACAATTCAATTTGCAAAGTGGTTGTATTATATTTTGAAGTATGAGGCACAGAGACACG